CTTGTGAAATTGTCCTGCATTTAAACTGGTGCAGCCACTCTGGCAAAGAGTATGGAAGTTCCTCAAAAAGTTAAAAATAGGGGTGCCTGGGTGGCTCAGTCGGATGAGTGTCTGACTCTTGGTTTCAGCTCAGGTCGTGGTCTCGGGTCCTGAGAATGAGCCCTGCATTGGGCTCTGCACTCAGCACAGGATCTGCTTGAGATTCTTTTTCCCTCTGCCCCTCCCCCAGCTTGCGCTTTCTCTCTTCCAAATCAATAAATCCTTAAAAAAAAAATAAAGTTAAGAATATAACTACTCTACAATCCAGCAATTGCACTACTCGGTATTTACGCAAAGGATAAAAAAATACAGATTCGAAGGGGTACATGCACCCCGATGTTTATAGCAGCATTATCAACAATAGCCAAACTATGGAAACAGCCCGTGTCCATCACCTGATGGATAAAGAAGATGTGGTATATATACAATGGAATATTATTCAGCTATCAAAAAGAATGAAATCTTGCCATTTGCAATGATGTGGATGGAACTAGAGTATTATGCTAAGTGCAAGGTCAGTCAGAGAGACAAATACCATATGATTTCATGCATTTGTGGAATTTAAGAAACAAAAGAACACGGTGGGGGAGGGGGAAGAGACAAGCCAAGAAATAGACTCTTAACTACAGAGAACAAACTGATGGCTGCCAGAGGGGTAGTGGGTGGGGGATGGTCTAGATGGGTGATGGGTATTAAGGAGGGCACTTGTTGTGTTGAGCATTGGGTGTTGTATGTTAAGTGATGAATCACTAAATTCTACACCTGAAACCAGTATTACACCACTGTATGTTAACTAGCTGCCATTTATTTTTTAAAGATTTATTTTAGAGAGAACAAGCATGTGAGGTGAGTGAGGTGAGCGGGGTGGGGGTGGGGGTGCAGAGGGAGAGGGAAAGAATCCTCAAGATGACTCCTCACAGAGCACAGAGCCTGATGCGGGGCTAGATCCCAGAACACTGAGGTCATGACCTGAGCCAAAATCAAGAGCCGGCCACTTAACTGACTGAGCCACCCAGATGCCCCTAACTAGCTGGAATTTAAGTAAAAATCTTGGGAGAAAAAAAGATTTCCTGCACTTAGATGCTTAATTATGTTTATATTTTGTCTCTAGGTCAACTCCTCTTTATTTTGCCTTCTCCAACCGGAGACTAGTAAAACTACCAATGTGTCTTTTAGAACTAAATGCTTTGGAGCACCAGGGTAGCTCAGTCAGGAGAGTGGCCAACTCGATTTTAGCTCAGGTCATGATCTGGGGGTCATGGGATTGAGCCCCAGGTCGGGCTCCACACTCAGCACGGTGTCTGCTTGTCCTTCTCCCTCTGCTCCCCCACCTCTCTAAAATAATAAATAAAATCTTTAAAAAAAATAAATGTTCTTTGGATATCCTGGAATTGCGACAACCTGTAATTTGCTTCTTCATCTTATAAAAGGATTAATAATAGAATGAACTGAATTGTTTAGTACTTCAAATTTTAACTCACTTGAAACTATTTTGAGAGCTCCTTTTAGCTTTCTAAACACAGGCTAAAAGAACAAATACTGAAAAGTCCTGAGAGAAATTTTAAAAAGTGATGTAGGGGCGGCACTTAGGTGGCTCAGTTAGTTGTCTGTCTTCAGCTCAGGTCATGATCCCAGTGTCCTGGGATCAGTCCCACCTAGGGCTCCATGCTCAGAGGGATCCTGCTTATCCTTCTCCCTCTGCCTGCCACTCCCCCTGTTTGTGCTCCCTCACTCTGTCAAAAAAATAAAATCTTAAAAAAAAAAAATAGCGATATAGTATCAGAGAAAAAGTACCTTTGAATCTTGATGAAATAGGCCTTTCCAGGAGATCCTGAGTTCTTGAATCTTAAAAATCCTCAAGGAGCAGATAATCTTCAGATGAAGTCTGCAAACTCAAGACCCTCAGATCCAAGCGATAATCTTGGAGCAGACAACTTCCATCCAGCACCACAGAACAAGATGAATTTTCTGATATTCAGTTTTTTGGGGTTTTTTTTTTGCTTTACTGCAAATCACACTTACTACTGTACTTTGGTGCCCTCTAGCAATCGCCTAATGGTTTCACAGAATGCTTTTACATTCTCTCACTGTTGTATTCTCATTATCCCATCTTCCCTGTGACATAAGAAAAGGCAAAACGCCTGTGCTTTTCTCTGTCCATAGCTACTGCTCTAAATCTAATGGACTGCCAGATTATTTTCATTCCCCGACATGAACTCACTGATGAAAAAAATGAACAGCTGTTACTTTTTATATACCTCCGGTCCTTTCTGATATTTTAATTTTTCTCATATTTATTAACCCCAACCTCCAGCCTTTTAAAAACAGGAATCTAATCTCAAGTCAACAAAATACTTTTGCTGAAATTATTATAGTACACACATTACAAGCTCATTAGAAGTGGGAACAAATCCTGGGTCTATCCTTGGGGCAATGGTCAGTGTGTTCTCCTCAGAGACTTTCCAGCTTGATTTGGAAGAACTCTATTTTCACTCAGTGAATCTGCCTGCCTTAGGGGACAAGCAGTTGTCCCTAATGTGATAAACTTTATCTAACATGATAAATTTTATTTACACTCCCAGTATGGTCTACCCTCAATCCTTAAGCCAATCATGTTTCCACTGTTCTTTTCAACCAACATATCACAATTTGTTGGATACAGCTAAAGCAGGGCATAGAGGAAAATTTATAGCCTTTTATACAGTCTTTCAGAAAGTAAAGAGAAAGGACCACTTCCTAACTCTTTTAGTGAGCCCTTCACTACCCTGATACCAAACCCAAAGATACTGCAAGAAAACTACAGACCAATACCCCTCATGAATATAGATGCAAACAATTCTTTAACATTAGCAAATCAATCCAGAAATATACAAAAGTATGGTTTTAACATTCAAAAAGCAATGAAATTCATTATATCAGTAGATTTAAAAAAGAAAACCCATATGATCATTTCAATAGATAAAAAGCAGTTGACAAAATTCAATATACATTTGTGATAAATCCTCTTGGGAAATAGGAACAGAAGACTACTTCCTCATTATTATAAAGGGTATCTACAAAAACCCTACAGCTAACATAAACTTAATAGTGAAAGACTGAATACTTTTCCTTTAAGTTCAAGAACAAGCAAAGTTCTCAGCTTTTAGGGCTTCCATTCAAATCATACTGGAGACCCTGGCCAATGTAATAAGAGAAAAGCAAAGAAGGGAAGAGGAAGGGAGAGAAGAGCAAACAATAAAAACAAACAAACAAAAAACCCCAGGAAGTAAATAAAAGACACACAGGTTAGAAAGGAAGAAATAAATATTTTCTATTTTTGGACAGTATGATTATGTATACAGAAAACTACAAAGAATCTACAAAAAAGCTACTACGGTGAGTTTAAGATGACAGGATACAAAGCCAATGTACAAAAATAAACTGTTTTTACATAATAGCAGTAAACAACTGGAAATTAAAACTCTAAGAACCGTATCATTTTTAGTAACACTAAAAAACACGAAATACTTAGGTATAAATCTATCAGATTATATGCAAGATCTGTATGCTGAAAACTATAAATCACTGAAGACATCTTAATAAACTGAACTAAACAGATACTGTGTTCAGTTGCTAGAAGGGTCAATACTATAAAAGACTATAACAATTAATCTATATATTCAATGCAATCCCAATGAAAATAGCAGTAAGAGTTTTTGTGTAATTGACAAGCTGATTCTAAAATTTATATAAAATAGCAAAGAAACTAGAAAAACTAAAAAAATTTTTTTGGGGGGGAGGGAGGAGAAGTTTGGAGGCCTTGCACTACCCAACCTCAGGACTTACTATTAGCAGTAATCAGCACAGTGTTAGTAAAGGGCAGAAACAGAGAGAATAGACAATCCAGAAATAAACCCACCCATGTATGGATAATGGATTTTTGACAAAGTATAAAAATAATTGGAGAAATAATAGTCTTTATAACCGAGCAGTGCTAGAATAATTGGACATACAGAGGGAAAAAAAGAAAAAAAGGACCTCAACCCATACTTGGCACATTAAAAATTAATTGGAGATGGAGCATAGACTAAATATAACACCTATATTTTCTACAACATTGGTCAGCAAACTAAGGCTCATGGGCCAAATCTGACCTGTCACCTGTTGTTGTAACTGAAGTTTTACTGGAACACCCATTCATTTTTGCATTGTTCACGGCTGCTTTCATGCTACAACACAGACTCTATGGCCTCCAAAGCCTAAAATAATTACTATCTAGCTCTTTACAGGAAAAGTTTGCTCACATCTGTTCTAGAAGAGATAGAAGAAAATCTTTGTTACTTTGAGTTAGCCAAGGATTTCTTAGATTCAACACCAAAAGCATGATCTGTAAAAGAAAAAAAAAAATGGACTGCCATCAAAATATAAAATTTCTGCTCTTTGAAATGTTTACAAAATAAAAAGATAAGCCACAGACCAGAAGAAAATATTTGCAAATCAAGTTTTTGATAAATGATTTGTATTCAGAATATAAAAATTCTCAAGACTCAGTAACTAAAAAAACAAAACAAAATCCAGTTTTAAAAAAAATGTGTATGAGTTTAACCCTTTGCTTTTAAAGAAGATACATAGACAACAAATAAGAATGTGAAAAAATAATTCAACATCATTTGTTATTAGGGAAATGGAAATAAAAAATAATGAGATAAACCACACACCCAGTATAACAAAAATAAACAACAAAAAAAGCAAAGTAAAACCGTAACCACCACCCCCCAACCCCCCAACCAATACTGAGCTCCAGTGAGGCCGTGAACCCCCTGGAATTCCTGTACATTGTGGTGGGAATGCAAAATGGTACTAACGCTTCAAAGAATTGTTTGTCAAGTTTATCATGTAATTGTCATACAACCCAGCAATCCCACTCCTAGAAAGGCACCCAAGAGAAATGAAATTTGTTCACACACAAGAACCTTTAGGTGAATGTTAACAGCAGCTTTATTTGTCATCAGTAAAAATTGGAAACAACCCAAATCTCCTTCAACTAGTAAATGATGAACAAAACACGGTACATTCACAATGGATTACGACTCAGCAATTAAAAGGACCAAACTACTGATACATAAAACAACATGGATGAATCTCAAGTGATTTAGCTAAGTGAAAGAAGCAGGCTCAAAATCTACATATCATATGCGATTTCATTTACAGGCCATTCTTTATTTTTTTTTATTTATTATTATTTTTTAAAGGTTTTATTTATTTATTTGAGAGAGAGAATGAGATAGAGAGAGAGAGCATGAGACGGGGGAGGGTCAGAGGGAGAAGCAGACTCCCTGCTGAGCAGGGAGCCCAGCGCGGGACTCGATCCCGGGACCCCAGGATCATGACCTGAGCCGAAGGCAGTCGCTTAACCAACTGAGCCACCCAGGCGCCCACAGGCCATTCTTTAAAACACAAAACTATAGGGAAGAAAACAGACCAGTAGCTGCTGGAGGCTTGAGCTGGGGGAGGTAGGGGAGTATAGGGAACTTTCTGTGGGTAATGAACTGATTTCTATCTTGTGTTGACGGGTATGTGAGCACACACATTTATCAAAATTCATACAACGGCACACTAAAAAGGGTCAATTTTACTTTATGTAAATTGTATCTCAGTAAACTTTAAAAAATGACAATTATAGTAACCAGTCTATGTAATCTCTGATTTCTGTTGATTCTCATTCACATTCAGGTTGTTTGCATAACTTGCAAGAGTCTTTGTTTGCTGCATATTAACCTTGAAAAAGCATTAAAGGCTTGGGATGAGCCTTTGTCCAAAGATTGTTGTGCTTCTGTCAAGCTCAGATCCTGAGAATCTTGGCCCATCCAACTATGCGTGCTTAAGGAGCTAATCTTCAGGAAAGCAAATCTGCACAAAACTCCCAGGAAAATTGCCTTTTCTATTTCTTTTCCTCACCTGCTCCAAGAACACCAACACAGCCCTCTTTTACAGATCACAACTCTTGTAGCTTTCTTGTTCCAATGTTCCATTAACCCACTTGGTTACAGACTTTCCTCCAAAAAGTGACCTGGGAGTTTCTATTTTTTCATTTATTTTTTTAAATCAACATTAGTCAGCCATCGCCAGAAATTGAAGTCCAAAAATGCTTTTATTACTTAAGTAACTGATGTATATGATAAAAAATCAAATCTTACAGAAGAGTACAAGAAAAAAGGAAGCCCCTTCACTGCCCCATCCACCCGACTCCAGTCCCACCCAAGCCTACACCTTAGAAGTCCTAACACTCAATGGTCTGGATTTGAGTTCTGACGGTCATGACCTCCATCCCTCCAGTGAATATCCTTGTATCTCTGCTTCTTGGTTCATAAACTCCAATGTAAAAAGATAATATTCCTTACACTAGATTTGCCTCCTTGTCACACTTCCCCAGTATGTTAGTCTTATTATTTAGCTTACTGAGAGCCAACTATATGCCAGGTAGTGTTTTAGACCCCATGGATGCAACAGTGAACAAAACTAACAGACTAATCTGACTTCGCAGCACTTATATTCTGGAAGGAGAAAGAGTGACAATAAATAAAGTTTGTCAGGTAGTTGTTCTAGAGCAGGGTAAGGAAAATAGGGAACGTGGGGACGAGGGCAGATCCGTGAGCTTTGCCTTTATAACGCTCTACAAACTCCTGCTAGTATACTTTCAAATTTCTGGAGCCAGGAATCCTGATATTTGTATTCATAATTTCAAGTTCAGTTACGTACCACTGGTTTGCTCTGGGGCAAATCACTTAGTCTCCTCAAGTTTCCTCATCTGTGAAGATGAGGATGAAAATCCCTTTCTGATAGGGTTGTTGTAAGGATTAAATGAGATAGTTGTGCTGAGCACAATGGAAGGCGCTCAGAGAACGCTCCAAATACAAGTTATCACTTTCATTAGAATATCCTAACACAAAACCTTGAACAGGATCAAAAGGCTGATGTGACTAGCTTAGGTGTGGTCAACCAAGCCCCCAGCATTAGATGATTGCACAGTTTCATTTTATATTGAATTATATATATTATATATTTTTAATTTCTAATTTCAGAGATATTGGTGGATAATTTTCTTTCACACAACATCTCAACGAAAGTTAACACATCAAAAAATTACCACAATGATATACTTTAAAACACTGTCACCGACTTAAATATTTATTCAGTGGCTACTATGCACCAGAATCAGTTCTAGGTTCTGGGGATATAGCAGTGAACAAAACAGAAAAGATCCCTGCTTTCATGGAATCCACATTCCGGTGGGAGAGTAATAAGCAAATATGATGAGGTCAGACAGTGCTAAGTGCTATGAAGAAAATTAAACAGGTTGATAAGTATAGTCACCAAGTATTAAGGGTGATTATCTACCTACAGTGGGATTTGAGGTAATATTACATTTCCTTTGACTGTGTAAGTACTTAACGTATTTATTTTTGGAACTGTCTCAAAGAAGGATTTTTAGAAAGCTATATACTAAGTTGACAGTCAAATACTTAACAGCAACCATCAACATGGTTTCAGTTTTCACCCCGCTATCCAAGGGAAAGGGCAGGAAGGTATTTGTAAAGATACTGTAAAGCCAAGATTATGATCAACTCGAGTAAGGGAAAAATGCCCCGTTGAGAACTTTCCCGTTATTTGTATGACACCATCATTTAGTTTATGCAAAAATGTAAAGCTACCCTAATATTTTACAAACTGGCATTCCCTAATTTTTAGTTCAAGTGACATGAAAAACTTCCATTTCTAAGCCAAAAACACTTCCCCATTCCAAAACATATTACAAATATATAGTTAACAAGATTATAGTTTGGTACTGGCATACAGACAAAGATCAATGGAAGAAAACTAAGAGTTGTGAAATAAATCCATACATTTATAGTCAATTGATTTTCAACAAGGGAGGCAAGATACTTCAACGGGGGAAAGAAGAGTCTTTTCAACAAATGGTGCTGGAACTGGACATCCACATGGAAAAGAATGAAGTTGGACCCCCACACCTCACATTTTACATAAAAATTAATTCCAAATGGATCAAAGACCTAATGTAAGGGCTAACATTATAAAACTCTTAGAAGAAAACAAGTGTAAATCTTCGTACCTTTGGATGAGGCGATGGTTTTTTAGAGACACCTAAAGCACAAGCAGTCAAAGAAAAAAATTTAGATAAATTGGACTTCATCGAGATGAAAACTTTTGTGCTGCAAAGGTCCCTATCAAAAAAAAAAGTGAAAAGACAATGCACAGAATGGGAGAAAATATTTGCAAATCATGTATCTGACAAAAGTCTAGAGTTCAGAACATATTAAAAAAATTCTTAAGGGGCACCTGGTTGGCTCAGTCAGTTGAGCATCGGACTCTTCATTTCCGCTCAGGTCATGATCTGAGGGTCATGAGATGGAGCCCTGTCAGGCTCTGTGATTGGCGGGGAATCTGCCTCTCTCCCTTTCCCTCTGCCCCTCCCCCTGCTCCATGCGTGTGAGCACACTCGTACTCTCTCTCTGGAATAAAGAAATCTTTAAAGAAATTCTTAAAACTCAGTAATAAAAAAATAATTTTAAAATGGGGAAAGAATATGAACCAACACTTCTCCAAAGATAAGACAAATGGCCAATAAGCACATGAAAAGATGCTGAACATAATTAGTCAGGGAAATGCAAATCAAAGCCACAATGAGATACTACTTCATAGCCACTAGGATAGTTATGTTAAAAAAGACGGACAATACCAAGTGTCAGGTGAGGATGTGGGGAAATTAAAACCTTTACCCACTGGTGGTGGGAATATAAAATGGTGCAGCCACTTTGGAAAAAGTCTGTCAGTTTCCATGATGTTAAACACAAAGTCGTCATACATCCCACCCAGCAATTCTAACCCAAGGTAATTGAAGACATTTGTTCACAAAAAGACTTGTGCACAAATAAATGCTCGTAGCAGTATTATTCAAGATAGCCAAAAAGTGTTAACAACCCAAATGTCCATCAACAGAATGTGATGTATCCATACAGTGGAATAGTATTCAGCCATTTAAAAAAATGAAGTACTGATATGTGGTATAGCATGGATGAACCTTGAGAATATTACACTAAATGAAAGAAACCAGACACAAAAGGACACAAATTGTATGATTCCTTTTTAATGAAATGTCCCGAATAGGCAGATCCAAAGAGAGACAAAGTAGATTAGTGATTCCCAAGAGCAAGGGGAGAACTGAGCATGACTACTGACGGGTATGGGGTTTCCTTTCGGAATGATGTAAATGTTCTAAAACTAGACAGTGATGACTGCCCAGCCTTGTGAACATTTTAAAAACACTGAATTGTACACTTCAAAATGGCAGATTTTATGGCATGTGAATTAAAAAAATTTTTTTAAAAGAATGATGGCAAACTTCTTGCCTAGCAATTCTACTTCTAGGTACTTACCCAAGACAAATGAAAAAAACCTATGTCCACACAAAGACTTGAAGTGGATGTTCATAGCAGTATTATTCATAATGGCCAAAAAGTGGAAACAATCCAAATTTCCATCAACTGATAAATGAAAAAATGCGGTATATCCATATAATAGAAAACTATGCAGCAAAAGTAAGTACAGAATTACGAATGCATGCTAAACATGGGTGAACTCAGAACACTTTAAATGAATGGATTTTATGGTGTGTAAATTATACCCCCACAAAACTTAAACATAATGGGATAAAGATTTCAACAGACCTTCCACCAAAAGAATGATAGGAATGACAAATGTTAAGATGTTAATATCATTAATGGTTAGGTAAATTCAAACTAAATCACGAGATACCACTACATACCCACGAGAATGGCCAAAATTCAAAATACTGACAACAGCAAGTATTGGCAATAATGTGGGAAAATCCTCACACAGCACTGGGGAGAATGGAAAATGGTACGGTCACTTTGGAAAACAGTTAGGCAGTACCTTAGAAAGTGAAACAAATATTTACCAGAGGACTCAATTATTCCACTCCTAGGTATTTATTGCAGAGAAATGAAATCACATGTTCACATAAAGATTTATGTATCAGTGTTCACAGCCACTTTATTCATAATAACCCAAACTGGAAAGAGCCCAGTGTCCACCAATAGGGGAGTGGCTAACAAACTGTAGTATAGTCATACAATGGGATACTACTCAGCAACAAAAAAGAACTGATTCAAGCAATAACACTGATGCCGCTCACAGATATGCTGAGCAAAACAAGCCTTACACAAATAAAGGACATACTGAATGTTTTCAGCTAATCTACGGTGACACAAGCAGATCAATGGCTGCCTAGGGGTGGACGGTGGATGGGTGGGAATGGGGTGTAAAGGGGCTTCGGGTACCTTTGGAGGGGTGACGGAAGTGTTCTCTATCTTGTGGTGATGGCTGCACAAGTGTATCTATGTATCCAAACTCATCAGACAACACTTACAATGGATGTTTTTGTCGTGTGCAAATTGTAACTTACTGGAGCTTTTAAAAAAAGCTGCGAAGGAAAAAAATCTCATTAGAAATATATCACCATTCTGATCGAGGAACCAGGCCTCTGAAAAATGGAAATGAGCTAACAAATCTGTCTGCCTCTCCTGCCTCTCCTGCAATCCTCGTGTTTGCAGAACTTTCATCTCTTTTCACCTGTTTGAGCAGCACTGACACATACCAAGGCTGGCACCAACATGAAACTGTTAACAGACGCACAGTCACATAAAGTGTTTTCCAAGGACTTTAATAATCTTACGCCTTGACAGATCCGACACAAATGCTTATTCAAGAACTAGGTTTCACACACCACGTTATTTATATATTTGCTATGCCATGCCTCATCACCAGCCTTTGCTAAAAATACTGAAATCGTAAGCTCCCTAAGGGTAGAAACTCTCTTTTTTCCACATCAGTGTCCAGGCAGTGTCTCACACAGTATTGTACTTCTATCCAATGTTCAATAAATATGTGCTACATGAATGAACCCACACTTCAGTTCACCCTGCGTTCCAGTTCAAGTAACTCCCACACATTCTTCTTCAGGCTGAGAAGACTTCAAGATTACCAGCAGAGCTCCGAGAATGAACATCACACAACAGCTACTCACATACTCACAGTTACCTCTAGTGGCTTTCTGGTGATTGTGGTAGGTGTAACAGAATGCCATTTCTGAACTAGTAACTGCCGCATTTTTCATGCCTTTTGTTGCTGGTGCTTATGGCCACTCACTCAGTGACTCACGGGCAGCTGCTACTTCAGGAGGGACAGACAAGAATCAAAAGCAAGACATCATTGCTCAACTTTGATGTCAAAGTTTTTTTTTAAAGCCAAAGGAAGAAACATGAACCTGAAAGCTAAAAGGCTTTTGATTTATCAGAGCCGAGTTCTGGAGGCAGAAAGGGCTTTTAGCAATCTACAAACTTCGGTGTGCAAAACGGAAAAAAAAATTTTTTTTCAAGGACCCCAGCCTGGCTGACACAGGCAATTTATTCTATGAACCACGGAGTCGGAAGAATAGGTAAAGATACAGGCACGGTTTTCTCAGTCAAAAAGAGCCGTAAGTTTGAGCAAAGAGAACTAGAGGGCATGTAGCGAGATGTTAGCGGTAAAGGTCTAGGACATGCTTGGCGCTCCCCGCCCCAAGGGCTGACACTCCATTTGGGGTGTGAGAAAACCCCAGATAAAGTCGTAGACTGGCTGTATACACACCACACACACAACAATTAACTCAGAATCTCTGGTGTGGGGTAAAGGCCTTAACATTTTTTAAAAAACTGTCTTCCCTTCCTACCTCCCAAGTTGATCTAATCTTCAGTCAAGTTTTAAGGATTACTGACTTGCAGGGATCCCAAAGTTGAAGCGTGCAATATACCTCTTTTCCCATGGTGTAGCCATCCTTGTGGACAAACGCCCTGGCAATTCAACCCCTGACTCCTTTTAACAGGGCGCTTGAGCACAGAACTCCACACAAGCAGGGAGCAGCTTACTGAAGACAGCTCAGACTTCACCACTGGTGACTGTCAAAGCTAAGGATTTGAAGAGTCTCGGTTTTGTGAATGAGGGTCTGGTGGACAAGTTTAGCAGTTTAAGCATGGATGTGGTACAAAGTTGACTACTGCTAGAAGGCCTGAAACTCACGCAACTGTCCCCACAGGGCTCTATACAGGGGACAACTCGGACTAGTGCTATTCATCAGCACTGCTTACAATTCCTGTTGGTCACCACAAACACACCAACTCCTAACTATAACACTGCCTCAGTTATTCAGAGCTTGTGCATCTTTACCAAAACTGCAGTCATAACAAAGCCAGTGACATTTGTGAAAGCAAATAAAGAGGATTCCTTAAATCATCAACCTTTTCAAGGTATTTCCGGTCTCACTGAAAAAATTAGGGAACTCTGACTCAGTTTAGTAACAAAAGAGGATTAGCTCTGGTCACGCATTGTACCTAATTAACTTTCAGAGACCAAGGTCTTTACCAAGTTTGAATTATAGGACCTTGAAAAATATTTAGGTGAGGACAGATTAGAGTGGAAAACCAACCTCCCAGAGTCATCTAGACCTATCAGCCCCTGGTCACATATGGCTCTCGAGCACTTAAAATGTGGCTATTTCCAAATACAGATGTGCTATAATATACATCAGATTTCAAAAATGAAAAAAACATCTAAAAATATCTGACAATTTTTATACCAATTACATGCTAAAATGACAATAGTTTGGATATTTAAAGACCTAGGAAGGCCTTTAGCCTTTGCAATGTTTGAACTCCAACAGTGATGAACTGTATGCTGTTTGACCCCCCCTTGATGGATATCCTCTATTTGGATAACAAATATCCTTAACATTTACAGATTTAGTAACACTTTAATTTATAAATGAGCTACCTTAAAATGTTCAGGACATCCAGTTATTTGGTATTTTTCTGAAATATAAATCTCCATTGCTAACAGTATATAGATTGTTTTCAGTTACCCAGCTTCTAAATTATCAAGCCAATCAGAAAGAATTTAAGTCTTATACTGACTTTGTTGGGAAGTTATTTTTTGGTCAGGTACTTTTTAACTCTCATAAAATAATGAACACTGAATTCCTAAGTCCATGGAAAAGAACCACACGAGTAAGGCACTATATGGCAGAATTTAACAACGGTCTTAAAATTATGGCATCATTAAGGTGTTGCAGAAAAAGTATTCTCACCTTATTTTACATGAGAAGTCAAATCTTAAATCACGCAATTATATTTTTGAATATAAGGTTTGCTTGTTTTTTTACATTGTAGGACAATTCCCTCTAAGGTGTTAAGTTTCTATTATTCTAACAGGCCTTGCTTTGTAGGAATTCCTGGTCTAGGAAGTTCCAAGTTATCTACCGGTGCATCTTTGAACCAATTCGGAGAAACCTGTCAAAGTTTGGTGTCCCCACAGATGTGCTGTATTAGATTAGGGAATCTGTGAGGAGAACGGACTACCTGACCTAATATAATACAAGGATATCCCAGGGTTTCTGCTGCTTCTCCAGGAACTTAAATATAAGCTTATCAGTCCTCTTTTTCTGTCCTTCACTGAACAAAGATAATCATGAAGCACCCACTGGCAACGCATAGCCTTCCAGAAATTAATAAACCTCTTCTGGTCCTCCTCTTGCTCAGCCTAACTCACCTATCGCAAAGTAGCATCCATCTTTCCTGTATACCAAATTCTACAAATATTCTACTTCCAATAATACCTTCCTTCTGCTGTGAGTGGCTAAGAAGACGAGCATAATGCAAAGGGTCTGGGACAAAAGGACCAGAGAGAAAACCTCATATTTCAGAATGCATCTTAGCATTTCACCATGCAAACCTGAGAAAACATGGCCCTATTCCAACAGGCATCTGAAGTTAAGGGGGAATGTGAGGGTGGGGTTTTGGGAGGTCCAACTCAACCAACTTAGATGTCATTGTACTGGTACAGCGTACCCCACTTATCAAGCACTTACTGACTCTTCTAACAGTGTTGGCAACGTTTGTGGCTAGACAACTCCCAAACCCTTACAGCCCCACCCCCCCCACCCCCACGTATATTCTTTTGCCTTCTCACAACTTGCCAACTATTCCTGTCTGGCTTCTTTCTCAAGGCTCTGCCTCCCATTTCAGATCTAATTTCTTTATGTTAGAGTTGGTGTTCTTTATCTCAGGTTCTCCAGGAATATTTCTGACATAATCAGCTTTCCCCAAGTAGAGATATTCTGTCCTTAAGACTCAACCCTTCACGATGTGGAGAAAGTACAGATGGAGTGGTCCTGGTCTGGTCTCTCATCCCCACACATGTAAATGATTACCAAGCTGAGTTCATTTTCCTCTCTAAATTTTTAAGTTCTTCATCTTTCCTTTCCCTATTGTCATTCCTTTAGTTTTGCCTCTATCTTGCCTGAACTGCTATCCATTTTCTAACAAAGTCTCTCTGCCTCTAGTTTCATTCTTCTCTAATCTGATGAGTAAATCTGACTGTCTTTTTCCTGCTTAAGATCCTCCAATTGTGGGGCGCTTGTGTGGCTCCGTCATTAAGCATCTGCCTTCGGCTCAGGTCATGATCCCAGAGTCCTGGGATCGAGCCCCGCCATCAAGCTCCCTGCTCCACGGGATGCCTGCTTCTCCCTCTCCCACTCCCCCTACTTGTGTTCCCTCTCTCACTGTGTCTCTCTGTCAAATAAATAAAACCTTAAAAAAAAATCCTCCAATTTTAGTTTGGCACATATATCCCTTCATGCTTTGCTATCTGCTTACCAGTCTAGACATAGCAACTCTCCTAGAATGTCCTGCTTGTATGTGCTATGCTCTCTGCCTTAGGAATACCCTTCCCAAACCTCCCACTGCACATGTCCTTTTATCCATATCCCCTGGAGTTATGTATGATCTGTTCTTAAAGACTTTGTTTCATCATTCTCTTGCCTAATCCAGTGACCTTCCTCACTACCCCTACTATACCTTGTGTACATGTCCATAACAGCAATTACTACTCTTTATTATATGCTTGCTTACTTATTTGCTTCCCCCACTAAAGATTAAGGTCTTAGAGGTTAGCTAGCTTAGATTTCTGTTATTCTTGGTCCCTAACAGTCCACAGAACCAAGTATGCTTAATACAGAATTGCTGGGACAGTAAATCTCTAGATTTTAGCAAGAAGGAAGAACAGAATCCACAATGTCTTCTATTATATATGTAGGTTTCTTAAACGCATCAGCTAAAGTCTAAGACATTACTCTGCTACCTCATGACTGGAGAGAATAACAAAAATTATTTATTCATAGATGGGCACAGATATTTTTACTGTCTATAATAACCCCTAGTATTATTGTCTACTGTGTGTCTGGTGCATACATGTCCCTTTCCCATTAAGCCTCACAACAACCTTGAGGTAGGTAGTAGTTTCTTCACCTCTTTTTATAGGTTTATAGGCAGAGGCAAGGCACAGAGAAGTTAAGCATCTCGCCCAATGTCAAAGAGATAGCAAAACCAGGCAGTCTGGCTCCAGAACTGTGTTCTTAACCACTCTGCTACAAAGCTCAATACCTCTTACATCATGAAAACTGCGCTTCAAAAGATTACTCCTCTTTTTAAAACGTAACGTAATATTACCAAATACAATCTAAATTTTTAAAAGTTATGATTACATATTGACAGACCATCCCTCCCCAAAGCTTAAGAGCTCTACTACAATCATATTTCAATTAAAAAATGTACAAATAGGTTTCACATTAGAAATTTCAAAGTAGGGCGCCTGGGTGGCTCAGTCGTTAAGCGTCTGCCTTTGGCTCAGGTCATGGTCCCAGGGTCCTGGGATCGAGTCCCACATCGGGCTCCCTGCTCCACGGGAAGCCTGCTTCTCCCTCTCCCACTCCCCCTGCTTCTGTTCCTGCTCTCGCTATCTCTCTCTGTCAAATAAATAAATAAAATCTTAAAAAAAAAAAAAAAGAAATTTCAAAGTACATTTTTACTTCTGGTTATGGTAATGAAGACCTCTTTGTTCATTACCACCATAGTTGTTTCTCAAGCTATTTTAGACGTTTAACTTAATGGGTGTACAAAAATAGATAAACAGTTAATTCATGGTAACCTTTCAGCAATCAGATAATTGTTTTATTGTAATATACTGTCAACTTCTAGACATTACAGCAGATATGACAAATTCCCTCGAAAACATTCTATTTTCTATTTCTAAATAACAGGATAATTTGGCAAGATCATTTGGAAGTTTTATTTATTAAAATGGCAGTAATTAATTGTTCCATTTTAGTTTAGAACATACTAATACAAGTTGTTCCTAATACACTTTCTATATTTCTTGTGATGGATGCTTCTGATACCTTATTTAATAGGAAAGTACTTTCTAATAGAGGAAAGTAAGAGGTATTACAGAAGTCATTGTTGAAACCATGAACAAAGCAATGAATATTATTACTGTGATTTTCTAAGAAACTGATACTCAGTCATTGCAAAGAAATAAAATGTAATGGATTTCTGTAATAAAGACCAATACCATCATCAAATTCCAAAATCTCTTTTTATCTCCCCATAGGGTCTGTTAACTGTATCATATGCACACAGGTGTCCAAAATGCTATTGACTAAAATGTAACCTTTTCAAAATGCTAGCACCAGGTTCACTGGAAAGAGGGCACAGGCAAACTGTACGTTTATAAACATTAAACCATTGGTACCTATCAATCTCAGCATATCAAATCAAAAAGGAAGGCATGAAAATTTATAATAGGAGAAATCAGTCACATATTCTAAGACGTGGGGTCCTGACAGGTGCCTCACAGTCCAGGGCAGAGCTAAGAAGCACAGTGTTGGTTGACAGATACTACAATATCACTTTAAAATTTTTCCTTTATTTCTGGGATGTGAGTTTATGCCATACTGCTCTTTGCTTCTCTATAAACAAGCAACCAACAATTTATCTTATTATTAGCCACTGGTCTACAATTAATGATGGCTTAAGTATCTGAAAATATACCAACCAACCCCCCTAAGTATAGTAATGTTTCAGCTAAAACTTAATATTAACATATCTGGTTTTCTTCAATGCTTTTAGTTCTTTCCAGAGAATCAGCTGAACTTCAAAGACCAGGTATTTCCCATTCAATTCAGGAATTCTGTGATTTAAAAAGAACATTCAGCTTCCTAACTTAAAACACAGCACTCACAGAATATGGCACTCAAAGTACTGCCTGGGTAAGTTATTACCAAAAGTTGTACCCATTCAGCTGTTCCCCAGTAAGAATCACTAGTAGGAGTATTACCACGTAGCAACTTTCTCTAAAGAAAACCAAGGAGCAATTTAGTTTCAGAATGAAAAGATCTGGATAGAGAAGAAAAGTAGACAATAAAACAGATAATTTACTGTTATTCACAATATAGCAAAGAAAAAATCAGAAGTTACACACTTCAAAAAAGGGGTTGTGGGGTGATAGGCCAAAGACAAAATACTGGCATGCTGGAATTTTTTTTTTTTTTTAAACTTAGTATCTGTACAAGAACAAGGGACACTTCACATTTAACACATTGTCAATATGTATTGAGTTCACCTCAGGATAGATCCAACTGCAAGAAAATGGCCCCAATGAACCAGAAGATTTCCTGCAACTAACAAACTGTACTCACAATTAATAAGCAACATTTACCTCTATGCAGTTTTACAAAGTTCTCAATAATCTGATTTATATGGAAACTTGCTCTGTGGAAAAAAATTAGATGGTTTGGATATTATTGATGCATAATATGGATTATCAATCAGATACGAAATTCAATTATTCTTGAATTTTTAGAAAGAGTTTCATGCTTTGTTCGAATGTAGTAGCTCCTTGTTAGGAAATTTCCTTTCTTCAACTCTCCAAGTTAGTATATAAAATTAGGTAATATTTACATTTAATTTATTGTCTTTTTCATTTAAAGAAATATCTCTTAGTCTTGCTATACAGGAAGTTAATTTAAACAACTGCTCTTAAACTTCATTATACCCAAATTTAGAAAGTAAAATAAGCTTTGAAAAGGAATATGCCACTTTCATGTATACATTTTTAACCTGAAATCTTTTCAAAATACATATTGCAAATATGCTAACAGTGCCACACCCTCAGGCATTTTGGGCTACATTCTAATACAGTGTTTAGTGGGTGAGAACTGAAATAACAGTGTAACATTTAAAAGAAATATAAGACTTGCACTAAGAAACCAAAACCCATATAGCATGCAGGTTAACAACATGGCCTTTTAAATGTGGTTCAGCTATCACAAAAAAAATCAGTTATAGAAACCATTATTTATATTTCAATCACAAACACTGCTCTTAAAATACAATCTATATCAGATTTATAACCAGATCTGAAAAACAGAGATTAAGATGAGGCTTAGTCTAATTTCTCTGGCAAAAAGTCAAGAAGTAAGATAGAATAATCTTACTATCTCTTATACATTCTGGCAAAAACAACAAAACCCAAAGAGCCAGATCAAAGTAAAACGAGGAGTCAAAATTGGCAATAAACCCATTATGAAGAGTGGCACTAAAGTGAAATTTCAGAACATATTGCTTTCTAAATATGTAAGTGTGATCTTATTGGAAAACATGTATTTACAAAGATTCTAGAAAGCTACCACCAACTTGGGTGTCTAGGTTTATCTTTATTTTGCCTCCATAATATTCAGTTGTCAGTAGTTTCAAGCTACGTACTTAAATATATCTAATGTGATTTTATATCCTACTTAACACTATTCCGTGTCCACGTACAGATTTACAAATATTGTAAGCCACATTATGTAGAATATTGTACTATTTTCCAGAGTAGCAACTTTGACTTTGAATAAAAACCAGAGTATCTGGGCTATAAAAACATTTTCTTTTCAATTTCTCTTTTAGGGAATCACTGATGGAGACTGAACTTAAAATAAAAAAATGCTAACCTCTGTCAATTTTAACAAAAAAGGGATTGCTATAAACAGATTTTAAGTAAATACTGTTCTAGACAAATATAATAATCAAATAGCACTCGACACAAATAAACACTGAACTTTCTTCTAGAGCACAGGGCTCCCACTGTAGCAGCTGCCGCACAGGACCCTATGACAATCAGAGGCTGAGCGAGAGACCGAGAGTACGGTACAGACAAACAAGGAAAAGAGCATAAGCTTAGGAAATTAAAAAGTCCATGAGTAAATCGTATCTGAAAATCAACTTCCAGGAGAATATTAATAGGTAATTACCATAGCCAGAGTTAATCTCTGCCTTCAAGAACGGAAGACAACAAAATAATTCTTACCATAACAATATACCAGTAGTAGAAAAAATGAATCATTCACAGACTCAAAGAATACTTTGAGGCTTCTCCTGGGGGGGAGTGGGTATGTGTCTATGTGTGAAAGCTTTCAAAATTAAAAATGTGAAACAAAATGGATTCGTATTAAGATTTCATGATAACAGAAAAAAATTTAAGGAAAGAATATTTTCCTTGAGGGAAGAGTATTTCCCATAACTGGTTTAAAAAGCACCTATGAAATCATGCTGTCCGTGGTCACAACTGAGGTTTTGGATGCTTTTGTCAATTGCAGCATAACTAAAGGCATTTCACAGCATAACTTTAGGGAAAATGTTATCTGGTCTAGGATCACACAAAAAGCAATGAAAAATTCTTTTAATTGCTTCTAAAACACCAATTTTTCTGGGTAGCAGCAGCTGCTCCTGTACATGCCCTTTCAAAAAATATGAAACAGAAGCAGAAATAGGGAAAAAATTTGAGAATAAGAGTAGCAGCATTAAATAGAAAAGCAAATATTTAAATACAGTTTAAAATAAGGAAACAGTACTGTGCAACTTTCAATTATACCAAGTAAAGTGCACTGCTTAAATGTTCACTGATAACATTTTCCCTATATGATGAAAATATGAAATCTACTTATTGGTATCTTTTTATATTAAAAAAAAAAAGACATTCACTATTGTAGCCCTGATTGCTCTCTTCCAGTATTTTTTAACCATTCAAATGTATTTTGTGGGAATATTTATTCACATAATTTTGCTTAATACATTTCCTTCTACACAAGACTGAATTTAAAAGTCTCTATAACATTTTCAATTACAGTAATAACACATTAATAAATTATAAATTAACAAAATCTTCATATTTGCTTTAAAAAATCATTTATCAAACACTAACCTCCAGATTATCTGGAAAATTAAAGATGCAAATTGCTATAAATCTGGCACCCCAATTAAATTGATTTTTAAAAGTATATAAAATGTCCCTCAAATTATTCCAAGTGCCATTCAAGAAAATTATATTTTACCCTTTTCATAAGTTACTAAGTTTACAACCTGCTAAACATTCTACCCAAATGTGGGAAAACTGTCTGGAGATGCAAAGCACAATAAAATAATTACATGAAAAGAACAAATAAAAATACCCGTTAAAACAAAGTTATTATAGCTGGCAGCACTTAAAATTGGTAATTTATATATATATATTTTTAAAGTTGCATAGCTGCAAGATGATTCATTACTGATTATTGAGCAGTTTTACTTAAGAGGAAAAAATACATTTAATAAATCGCAATTCAATTTAGTTCATTAAAATGCAATTATGTAACTTGATTTACTCTTTGGACTGCATTCTGGTACTGCTACACCTTTCATTTCAAATATTAACATACTTTAGCTCTCCTATGTAGAAGTCTATTTCCACTCTTGGGGGAAAAAAAAATTGAAGAACTTGAGATCATGGTCTACATTCAGACAATGTTTTACTGCTTGATTACATTTCTTGGTTTCACATTTAAGACTTTAATTTATAAGAAGTACGTTATGTGGTCTTCAGTTTAAGAACAGATGAATGCAGAAACATTGTCTTGGGGAAAATAAAGTGACCCCCAACTAAAAAACAAGTCAAAACACAACTAGTTGCGCGGCTCTACAGAACTTAATAAAATCAACTTCTAAATCAATTAACTTTGGCGTCTGAATACAAAATGTTTATCAGTGTTACCTATGTAGATGACTATTAAGGGATGTGCAGCATTTTCAAAATCCCTGTGTGTCCTTTATATGCATGTTTGGTACACTGAGTTCTGTGGCAACTGTCCTCTCTTCAGCAGGGTTATCCCCCTGTATGATTGATTGTCCATCTCTGCATTACCAAGTCTCACAGAACTCAGATTTCTGGCTGAATATGCCTGCAGTTTTGTTTTTCTTTTTCCAAAGACAGATCCTCATATCCTCTCAGTTTTTCAAGCATCTTGGAAAGACAAGAAAACCTGTGTAGAAGCAGACGCATAAGGTTTAAGCAGTGGTCCATAATACTAATACAAATCAAAATACAACACCCATTTCCCCAGGAACACTGCTTTACATTGCTATACATTTTCATACACTTACTATTCTAAAAACTCCTAAAATTAGTGTTTTGCAAAAGAACAGATTAAGGACAGAAGGACCAATTAAAGCTTAAAACAGTCACAAAAAATAGCCACCACGTAACAGTCATTCTCCCTCCACAATAAAGACCACACCGAAGTACAGAACACACACAACACGTAACACCTACACACCTATTAACCTTCCCCTAAGTAACTAACAACCTCCAATAAAAATAGTAAACAATTTCCTAACTAATCAAAACCTTAGACTGTTATGTGTATCTATTTTGGGCTGTCCATTAAATTCTTAGGCTGAAGAACATCAGAAATGCTGTATGTGCTGCTATATGTTGCTTTTTTTTTTTTAATGTTTTAACAACCGGGACGCCTGGGTGGCTCAGTTGGTTAAGCATCTGCCTTCGGCTCAGATCATGATCCCAGGGTCCTGGGATCGAGTCCCACACTGGGCTCCCTGCTCAGCAGGGAGCCTGCCTCTCCCTCTGCCTGCCGCTCCCCCTGCTTGTGCGCTGACAAATAAATAAAATCTTTAAAAATAAATAAATAAATGTTTTAACAACAATAAATTCTCTTCAAACCCACACGTTTAATCTAAGACAGCAAAAGGGGTGGGAGGAATTTATCATTTGACAAATAAGAGCAGTCAGCACAGAAGCAAAAATTTGAGTTAAGATATTCCATGTCTGTACATTTGTAAAAATGACTCTTCAAGACCCATAGAGACAAATTCCATTGATCTTTTAAAAATTTTTTTAAAGATTTTATTTATTTATTTATTTGAGAGAGAGAGAGAGAGAAACAGCATGAGAGGGGAGAGGGTCAGAGGGAGAAGCAGGCTCTCCACTGAGCCAGGAGCCCGATGTGGGACCGATCCCAGGATTCCGGGATCATGACCTGAGCCGAAAGCAGTCGCTTAACTAACTGAGCCACCCAGGCGCCCCAGATTCCACTGATTTATAAGATTTGTGAGGGCAGCTGCCACCAAACTAAGGTTCTATATATTAAAAAAAAAAAAATCAATAAAAAGATAACACTGATACATAAGTAAGGAAACTGAAATGCTGTTTAAGACTAACATGTATATTGACTATGAGATGAAACACATGTTACTTATACCCCATAAGCTCACTGTAACACTAAAGGAAAAATTTAGCTGATTGGATCATGAAATAAAAACACTTTTAGGACCATAAAATCCCATCTCACATAAAAAAGTTTACTGCCTCTAAAAGACACGTTTTATCTATAGGTGAAAACTTTAGACATATTATCTTGGTATGTAAAATACTAAGATAAAAATTTCATTTTATTAGCACGAGTTTTTAGTACTTCTCTTTAAATGCTTCTATAATTTTAGCTATACTTTTAGTTTATTGGCCCAGACATACGGTTACAGTGAAGATATTCCAAAGCATCCTCTTCAAAACACCTGCTCACCTTGAAATAAAAACATACCTGCACATATACTCAAAATATCACTCCATCACCACTCTTCTTTTATACAGAAATCTTATCCCAATTCATACTTCCAGTGTGTCAAGGTCTGCTCTGAACCACCTCATGGGAAAAGGTTCAAAAACTGACAGTCTGGGGTGCCTGGGTGGCTCAGTGGTTCTGCGTCTGCCTTCAGCTCAGGTCATGGTCCCAGGGTCCTGGGATCGAGCCCCACATCGAGCTCCCTGCTGCCTTCTTCTCCCTCTCCCACTCCCCCTGCTTGTGTTCCCTCTCTCGCTATGTCTCTGTCAAATAACTAAATAAAATCTTAAAAAAAAAAAAAAAAAGCTGACAAGTCTTCTCATACCCTCCAGCTTCCCAAGGAGTTCCCATTTCCCATGCAGAACCCTACTGTAATTGTGACAGAGGTCTCACTTCGTGCTGCATTCTTACTTCAGTTGCTGTAACGGCTATTCAGTAATCTCAAATCTCCTCTGTCAATACTCTAATCTGCTGCTATTAAATTATCCTCATTAAGGGCAATGATCTGTTTCAGTTTCCTATCTTTAGTCTTAGCCATTCAGAAAAGACTGCTGGCGGTTACCGTCTTAGGTCTCTGAATACAGAGATTCCAACTCCTGAAACAATTCCTGGATTGGCTAAAATGTTCTGCCTGGATGTAAAAACCCAGTGCTTTATGTCATTTCTGCAAGTCTTCTCATAAAAAGCTTTTCATATATACGAAGATATCAATTAAATTAACTACTTTTTCAAAGCTAAATGATGTCATTTAACTCACTTCATGGAATATGGAAAAAACAATAATGAGTTTATCATTCAATTCACTGAACAATTTCAGATAATGCAGGATAAGCAGCTAAATCAGCAGAGCAAAACAAATTCTGTATTTGGTTTAAAATTCATCTTTTTTTTCGCTTTTCCTCCTACTGTATAGACAGGTACTATATAACATGTTGAGGATACTAAGGTGCAAGATTAAACTGAATGAATGAGTACATGATGCAACTTTTTGAAGAAAATGCTCCTACCTAATTATAGCAAAATAGATAAAAACACAATCTTTGCAGCCAATATGCCTGGGTTCAAGTCCCAGTTCTACCAAGAACTAGCTTGACTAGTCAAGTTCCATAACCTCTAACTTTGTTTCCTCATCTGTATAATGGGAAAAGGAATAGCAAGAGTCCTGAGCTCAAAGGGTTGTTACAACAATTAGATGAGTTATTAATAGATGTAAAATGCTTAGAACAATGCGTGGCGCATAATAATGCAACATAAATGTTAACTAATTATGATGATTAGAATTATAATATTATGTTGCATTACCTAAGAACATACCTGTCAAGTTTGGAATAAGAGTACAGAATTTGATTCTGTTTACTAAATGCATGCCTTGGACTATTGTGCATACTGCTTCTTAAAGTTATGAAATTAATTACTCTGGCCTTCAGATTTCTTAGTGGTAAAACAGGGTAATATGTACTGATATGTACATATGTGCAGTACATGTATGAAGTTTATACAAACCATATACTTCATGGGTTTAAGCACTAAACTAAAATTAAATGTGTTTTAAAGTACCAAGAATGGAGAAGTTACTCAATATATGACTTTCTTATGGAATCAATAAAGTTGTTTTCTATGTATCTTTTCATGTGAGTTTTTTACACAGTAACCTAACATAGTGTCTGGGACACATACACATACACACACACACACACACACACTTCAATAAGTAAATGAATGAATTAAAATGGTGGCTGAGAATGTATAACTCAAGTAACAAGCTTAAAAGCAATTAAAACAGAAAAAGGGAGAATTACCTATAAAACAGGAAGTTGATGCTTAATCTGAAGGGTGCTCAGGGCAAGATCTATTTACTTCAAACCATTCATCTATGCAGCTAGAAAAGAACAAAACCAGAAAAATTGAAACACTTATTGTTTAATTATTGATATCATGACAGCCATAATAAAAATTCTTACTTCTTGACCTTAATATATATTTACAGGAAAAAAATTTCAATATTTTAAATGAGTATATTTGGCATATGTAAGTAAAAGATAAGGATCTGTTTATTACATTTTGATTTTTTTTTTTTTTTTTTGTAATCTCTACACCCAACGTGGGGCTAAACTCATGACCCTAAGATCCAGTGGCATGCTCTTCTGACTGAGCCAGCCAGGCATCCCACATTTTGATTATTCAAAGCAGTTAAGGAAATAACCTTTGCAAAATTATGCTATAAAGTACTTTAAAGTTTAAGTAGAACAACCATTACCAAAAGAGAATCTAAAGAACTAACACTTTACCAATATTCAAAATTAAGTGACAAATCTGGGCAGGTATTTTTCTCTTCAAAATATTCATTCATGCAAATACCATCTGTTCATGTACCTATCAATGTAATCAAAAACAGCTTTTAAATTCTAATTCTTGACAGTACTGCATCTTTTAAATGACTATACTTCAATACTTACATATAAATATAGCCTTTTAATTCTATCCCACTCTACAATACATATACATACACAAATAAAAATACTATCATCCAATTGCATTTATATTTTGTGATTTTATTAGAAGTTAAATATTAGGGTGCATATAATTATCCTCATTATAGATCTGCACTGTTCAGTGCAGTAGCCACAACCCATACGTGGCTATTTAAATTCATTATGATTAAATAAAAGAAAAATGCAGTTCCTCGGTCACACTATCACATTTCAAGTGCTCAAAAGCCACGTGCACGGCTATTGGCTATTCTACTAGACACACAGATATGAAACATTTTCATCACTGCAGAAAATTTTAGTTCACTGTGATAAATGGTAAGGCCTTGATAAGGTTAAGTAATTTGTCCAACAGCTAGAAAGTTACCCAAGCAGAATTCAAACTGCTCAACATTCTCATTGTTGACAACTGTCAAATCTGCATATGCCACAAAGCTAGAAGGCTTGGCTAATATGCTTACAGGCAAAATTATTATGTATCCTTCTCATATGCTGATAGGATAGTTTGGTGGGTAAAAATAATGGATGAAATTAAAAGGAAAAAAGGTAAAGTATCTCATCCACACAATATTCTTTCAAATATCTTAAAATAACTTCTGTTGCATTAAGACTTTTATTGTCTAAATAATCATGCCCAAATTGGCTTCTCAGCCTGCTCTCTATCCTACTTACTTGGCTCTAGTGGTCCCCTGGTCTACTGAAACATCCCTTAAAATGAAGTACTGAACTGGGGCGCACGGGTGGCTCAGTTGGTTGAGCGTCCAACTCTTGATTTCAGCTCAGGTCATGGTCTCAGGGTTGTGAGACCGAGCCCCCCATGGGGCTCCGCACTAGGTGTGGAATCTGCTTGGGATTCTCTCTTTCCCCCTCTCCCTCTACCCCCGCACCCCCCACCAAAAAAAAGTAGTACTGAACAAAATACTCCAGATATATTAACAATTCACAGTACCTATGGGTATTTATTTTACAAGCCATGTAATTTTGACTGACACTGAGAAAGTATCACTGTAATATTCCATAAATACAAACATATTGCAATTTATGTGTCCATTCCTTTACTGATGGACACTTTCAATGATGCTAGGAACATTCTTATACATGTCTCTTAGAGCTGTGCTACTCGAAGAGTGGCCCACAAACAGTGCTAATCCATGAGCTGTCTGTTACCAGTTCTCAATGAAATAAGGGGCTTTTGAGCCAGAATACCCATTTATTTTGCATCTAACTACACTGTTTTAACTTTTTTTAAAAAATTTAAATCACTGCAAGTCAAGCTCCTTTATTTCATCCTGGACCTGCATACTGAGTAGCAGCACCGTCCTAGAGCACAAGATCAAGAATTCCTCCAGGGCTTATATTTTGGAGTGGAATGACTGAATTGTGGAATATATACAGTACACAGCTATGACAGAGCTATTCACCAAGTATACCAATTTACATTTGTATGTTTACTGACCATTCGGGGTTCTTTTTTTTTCTTCTGAATTGACTTAACTTTTGACAAATTTTCTATTTTGTCTTTTTCTTATAGGTTTATAGGAAGTTATTATCCAAATACTTCAGCTATAATATAGTATACACATTTTTGATGAACCTTGCTTTTTACAAAATCATACACTAAAACTAACAGGGCTTATGGGAAAACCCATGTTAAAGGCAGACCACTCAAACAATACAACCTTGTAACCAGAACAAAGCTGTGTTTGTTCCAGATAAATAAAATACCACTGTAAATACAGGATTTTTTTAAAAAAAGGGTTAAGTTAGCTTGACATAAAGAGGACTAGGGAAGGGGGTGCCTGGCTGGCTCAGTCAGTGGAGCAGGGGACTCTTGATCTTTGGGTTTTGAGTTCAAGCCCCATGTTGGGTATAGAGATTACTTAAAAAAGAGGACTAAGGAAGGATTAATATTAATATGGGGACAAAAGCCTAATGCACAAAATTTGAAAACTATGAATGAAGCAAGCAAGAACTTCCAAAATAAAGCCTGTGGTCTAACTAAACTGGGTGTAAGAATGTTCAGTGGATGTATCAGGCACACCTCATATCCTGGGGTTCAGTTCTAGACCACAGCAATAAAGTAAATATCGCAATGAGTCAAATAAATTTTTTGGTTTTCCAGTGCATATCAAAGTTATGTTCACACTGTACTACTAAGTGTGCAAAAGCATTATGTCTTAAATATATATACACACACATAATTAAATATAAGAAACAGGGCAGAGGACCATTGGGGAAGGGAGGGAAAACCGAATGGGAAGTCATCAGAAAGGGAGATAAACCATGAGAGACTCTTAACAATAGAAAACAAACTGAGGGTTGCTGGAGGGGAGGGGGGTGGGGGGGTTGGGGTAACCAGGTGATGGGCATTAAGGAGGGCACCTTAATGTGATGAGCACTGGGTGTTATACACAACTGATCAATTACTGAACTCTACATCTGAAACTAATGAGGTACTATATGTTGGCTAACTGAATTTAAATTAAAAGAAAAAAAGAAAAACATATATAATTAAATTACGTATATTTATAGTAAATTTATTAATTTAATTAAAAAATACTTTATTGCTAAAATAGGCTAACTACCATCTGAGTTTTTAGTGAGTCATAATCACTGATCAGAGATCACCATAACAAATAACTAATGAAAAAGTTTGAAATATTCTGAGAGTTACCAAAATGTGACACAGAGACACAAAGTATGCAAACGCTGTTGGGAAAATAGTGCCAATAGACTTGCTCTATGCAGGGTTGTGAGAAACCTTAAATTTGTTTAAAAAGAAAAAAACGGGGGGAGCTGTATCTGTGAAACGCAATAAAATGAAGCACAATGAAACAAGGTATATCTACACTGTATTCTCCCACGGCCCATTTCCATATATACTTTCATCTGTTTTTATTTGATAGAGCAAACACTAATGTGCTGAGAAATATTCTTTATGAACCAGTACGAAGATCATCTCATTACATTGTCACTGTTCTTCCACTTACCAACTGCAATGAGCTAACTGCATTACAGAAAGCTGCTGAAGGAGAAGCTTGTTTCAGATACCATACCAACAAACTGTTGTTACGTGTACTGAAAAGAACTCAGCCTGAGGTCTAGTTTTCTTTTACTTTTTCACAAATTCATGATGCAAAAAAGTTTTAAATGTTAATACAGTTAAATTTATCAACTTTCCTTTCGAAGTTGATGGGGGGGGTATGTTAGCCCTAAAAATATCTCTTACCAAGAGGTCAAGAACATTTCTCTACATTCTTTTTTTTTTTTTTAAAGATTTTATTTATTTATTTGAGAGAGAGAGAATGAGAGAGAGCACATGAGAGGGGGGAGGGTCAGAAGGAGAAGCAGACTCCCCGCTGAGCAGGGAGCCCGACGCGGGACTCGATCCAGGGACTCCAGGATCATGACCTGAGCCAAAGGCAGTCGCCTAACCAACTGAGCCACCCAGGCACTCTTTTTCTCTACATTCTTTCCGACACTTGTAAAGATTTTGATTTCCATAGGAACATGATTAGTCAATTGGGAATTGATTCTTATTCCAACTATAACATTTTTCTACATCAATAACCAACTGATTTGGTTCAGTTCACTGAATTGTTCATTCTTTCTCTACTACTGTAATACCACCTCTGCCAAATCAATTTTTTTATTTATTCATTTACTTAACAAATATTTACATAGTATCCATTACGTGCAAGCACTTTCTAAAATTTAACTCATTTAAAACCTCCTAACAACTCTATGAAGTTGGTACTATCGCCTCATTTTATAGACTGAGGGAGGGGAAAGCTAACTACAACTTGACCAAGATCACACAATGAATTAGTGGAGGGGCTGGGACTTGAATCTTGGGAGGAAGGCTTAACTTCCAAGAATCCATGCTTTTAACAACCCCGTGCTATGCTGTCTCTCATATGCACACGAGTGTTTATGGATTCTATTCCTATGCCCTTTCCACACTTGTCTTAATAATAGTCTTATAATGTGTCTGTACAGGGCAAGTCCCCCAGCAGTTTTCTTCTTCGTGAGTATGACTGTTCTTGCCATATAGGCTCTTTGGTCCATGTGTATTTTAGAATCCACTCATAAAATTACATGAAAAAACTAGTTGAGATTTGAATGGGACAATATTAACTATGTAATCTGGGGTTAAGTGACATCTTTATGACATGGAATCTTTCTATCCCCAAGATGGAATACCTCAAATTTTAGATCTTCTATATCTTTCAGCGAAGTTTTAAAATCTTGAGTATCTTTTCTGGGATGCATTCTTAACACAGCTTACAGCCATTGTAGGTTTTGTGGCTGTTAATGTTGTTATTCTATAAAAAAAAAAAAGTTATATTTTCTTTTTTCTTACTGGGATATGAATGCAACTAATTTTCATGTTGAGCTCCTATCTGGCAACCCTGCTAAGTTCTTAATCCCTAAAAAAGAGAGCAAAAGAGAGAGCATGCACGTATGTGCACAGAGGGGGAGGGACAGAGAGAGAAAATCTTAAGCAGGATCTCAGGGAGGCCTGATCTCATGACCCTGAGCCGTAATCCAGAACTGGATGCTTAACTGACTGAGCCACCCAGGTGCCCCAGTCATTAATTTTTTTCTAAAGATTTTATTTATTTATTTGAGACAGAGAGAGCGAGCGAGTGAGCATCAGTCAGGGGAGGGGCAGAGGGAGAGCCCTCTGAGTGGGGAGCCCAAGAGGGGTCAGGCCCTGAGATCATGACCTCAGCTGAAGTCAGACACTTAGCCAACCAAGTCACCCAGGCACCCCTCTTATTAATTTTAATAATTTATCTAACATCTACTCTTTGCTTTTGTTTTGAAATCAATTCGTAAGTATAGAGTTATACTGTTTTCTCACATTTATTGAGATAATATGGTCTTTCTCCTTTGTTAATGTGGTGTACTACATGTATAAATTTTCTAATCTTACAGTGTCTTTACATTCCTAATAGTCATGAGGCATTACTTCAGATATATATTGATGAATTTGGTTTGCTAATATGTGTTTGGATTTTTTGCATTTATGTTCATAAATAAGAGTGCCTTCTAATTTACTTTCCTGTACTTGCCTTGTCTGATTTTATTTATTTTTTTAAAAAATGTTATTTGTCAGGGAGAAAGAGCCAGCGAGCACAAGCAGGGGGATCATCAGGCAGAGGGAGAAGCAGGCTCCCCGCTGAGCAAGGAGCCCAATGCACGACTCTACCCCAGGACCCCGGGATCATGACCTAGGCCGAAGGCAGACACTTAACCGACTGAGTCACCCAGGCGTCCTACCTTGTCTGATTTTAATATCAAGTTTATATTATTTTCATAAAATAAGTGGGAGAACCTACAATCTTTTCCTACTATTTGGAGTGTTTACAATTGTTAACATGGTGTAATTTGGATGTCTGGTAGAACCTGCTGTCAAACCATCTTTGTAAGCCTGTTTTTAGGTTTTTGGGTCTTGTTTTAATTTTTAATATTTGTTGTTTTTCAAGGTTTGTCTTAATAACTACTTGTAACAGTTATTAGTCAACTCAGGTTTTCTATTTCTTTTTGAATCATTTTGGTAATTACTACATATCATAATATACAATTAATAATATATAATAAATATATATTATATAAAATATAAAATAATATATAATGAATTGGAAAGATAATAATATTCTTAAAGAAATTGCCTGTTTTGTTTATATTTTTAAATCAAAGAGTGTAAAATTTTTCACAAAATTTTCCAATTATTTTTAATTTCTGTGTCTGAAGTTATGTGTCATTCCTATACTGTTCACTTTTTCCTTCTAGAGACAATCCTGCCAGAGGCCTATCTATTTTATTTGTCTTTAAAGAACCAACTTTTGGCTTTGTTGGTCTCTACTCTAGCAGGTAATTTTTTTATTTCATTATTTTCTTCTCTCACCTTTATTATTTTTTTGTTCTATTTTGTGTTTCTTCATTTTTCTAATTTCTTAAGGAAGAACTTGTTTAATGATTTCCAGTCTTTCTCTCCACTCTAACACAAGCCTTCCAAGGATCACTCTAGAAAATGTCAAAAGGGTTTTTCGTTGTTATTCAGTTTTGAGTATTTCTAAGACCCATTATGATTTCCTTTCTTTTTGGGGGGTAGGTGGGGAGTGGGGAGAGAATTCTAAGAAGGCTCCACTCCCAGTGTGGAGCCTGACAGGGGGCTTGATCTCAGGACCCTGAGATCCTGACCTGAGCCAAAATCAAGAGTCAGACCCTTAGCCAACTGAGCCACCCAGACACCCCTCCATTATATTTCTTCTTTAATCTACAAATTACCTAAAAGTATGTGTGAAGATTATTCATCTTTTATTACTGACATATAACTGGCCAGAGAACAGCTAGCTTTCTGTATGGCACCAATTTTTTGTAGTTTGCTAAAACTTGCTTTATGGCCCAGTACACCATCAATTTCTGTGTATTTCACATGTGCTTGAAAAGAAAATGTACTAATTGCTAGGCGCAGATACACATACATCCATTAGACAAACCTGTTAACTGTATTGCTTGATTGTTCTAGGTCTTGACTCATTTTGTGTTCATCTGCTTGACTCAGTGAGAACTATGTTGAAATTTCCCATTATCATGACATTTTTGTCCATTTCTTTCTGACAGTTCTATAAATATTTTACCTTGAGACTGTTCTTAGGTTCACCAAAAACTGAACTTTATATACCTTTATCATATCATACTAGCAATATTTTTGTTAAAATTTATTTTGTCTGATATTAATTTAGCTTTGTCAGTTGCTCGTGGTTAATATTTACCCGGACATAATTTTCTATTCCTTCACTTGCACATTTTTCTATATCCTTATGTTTAAGTGTTTGCTCAGCAACAGCATACCTCAATCTTTCAGTCTGCTGTCAACTGATGAGTTTTATTTAGATTTCTTAAAATTACTGATATTGTATTTATTTTTGCCTCCTTATTTTGTATTATTTATTGTGATCTCTATGCTTTTCCGTACACCCACCTTTAAATAAAATTCTGCCTTATTCCTTTTATTGGTTTAAAATGTTATAGTTTTCTATTTTTTTCTGTTCACCTTAAATAAATTTTTTTTTTTTACCTAAAAATTGTCCTGTGTTGCTCTGAAACTAAGAATACTTTATGAGAATCTAGATGGATGTTGGAGTCAAACAGACATGGCTAAAATCTCAGCTCTTCCATTACTAGCCATGTGACCTTGGAGAGATTTCCTATGGTCCCTCGGCTTATTCCCTCAATTATAGAATGAGATTGTTACAAGGTTTACATGAAATAACCTAGCTAAGCTGTTACGGACAATACCTGGGTAACAGGAGATGTTTAGCAAATGGTAGATTTTTGGATACAAACAGATTTGGGCTTTAATCTTAGTTCCAGCAGGTAAAGAAGGCAATTGTTTTTTTTAAGAAATAGGGGAAGGGAGTTTCAATTAAGAAAACTTTTCAGCCCTAAGGACAATGTTTGAAATTTTGAGAAGCATCGCTTACTCTACTATCAACTTGGTTAACATAAAAAGAAACTTACCCTTTATGATATATGCATAGACAAGGCAGTCGTGCTATAGTATCTCCCTGCTGCAATTCTTCAAGGCATATTGCACATTCCCCAGCATCTTTACTCAGTACATCCTCTGAGGAAAGAGAAAATGAATTCAGGACAATAAAACTGAAAGACGAATTATAGGAAGACTAATTTATAAAGAGTGGTGACTGGCATATTTTGTCAGAAATACATAAAAGTCAGCACCCATATTTGAAGTACTATTCATAAGTCAGTGAATAATATTTACCTTTACTCACAGACAGCATCTTATTTCCATTTCCATTTCACTGAGGCATTACAGTAAGCAAGAACAGTGCAGAATCCTCCGACTTGCAAAGGATTTTGCTATAAAACTTCATCAGCAAGTCAGTTATTTGCAATTTGGAATTCATATTCCTTCTCTTACTAATCAATATTAATTTGATGCCCAGGATAGTTCAAAAAAATTTAGAGTGTAATGTGGCTGAAAAGACATGAAAGTACTATTATATTTTTAAAATTCTAAAATAACAAAATTGGATAAGTTAAAGAAATCCCCCTGAATATGGGGCTTCTTAAAAAGGTCTACTTAATTCAAGAAAATCCAAAGGTAGATTAAAGTTTTGTGTAGATTCTGAAAGGGACTTTTGAAAACTTGAGGATTTCAGACAGGCAGCAATTCTTCTTAATCCTTTTCCAGAACAATACCTGGCCGACACCAGGCAGTAATTAATTAGACTGGCTTCCAGAGGGGCCTGCAGACTGTTTAAAATACTGCTATGGTAAAACCCTTTACAAAGTGAAAATTCCTTTCGGGGGGGAAAAAAAAGGTTCTTTCAATTCATGTTTTATACTGAATATTTAAATATTTTATTAATGTTAAAGCTTAATTTTTAAAAGGATCTTGCCTAAAACACAGATATTAGCCAGATAAAATGACGAAGAACTAAAACATGCCATTGCTGTAAAGTATGGAGAAACTGCCAAATGTATGAGAATGTATACTCAGTAAGTGTCAAGAATGGAAAACTAAAGCAGGAACATGCAATATGAATTTATACCACAAACAACTAAATTACTGTCTGTAGAAATAAAAATCAAATAGGCTAAAGAGAAAAGACTACACCAATCTCTATCTAAATGCTTAAAGACAGTGCAAGGTAGGGAAGTTCCTATAATTATTTGCCAGGTACTCCTACACCTCTTATAAAAAACCAACGAATTTAATTGTGCATTTATCTGTAATCGTTCCTTGTAGAAAAATTCATTCTCTAAGAAGTAGTTCGCCCTTCAGTTATTCATATTGAGATAGCACATTAAGAGGCAACACACACTCTATTGGGTCTATACCAGCAGACAGATGATTTACCCATAAGGCTGGAGGGGGTAACAGGGCAACCTCTGCGGAAAAAGGCCTTGGCATGAAAAGTTAATGTGTTCAGAATCTAGGGAATATGGTTGAGATGATTTTAGCTAACTACTGGGAAGTTCACAAGCTGACATATCACAATCAGAGACTTGACCAGGATAAATAAAGCTGGGTAAATGGAAAATGTTCTCATTAACAACCCCCTCTAGTGTCTTATCCCCACTTTTCCCTTCTTCACCCTGGAGGTCCCAACCACTATGTCCACTCCACCTGCCCTGAGCCCGTCTTTCCTTCCTTCTCTTGATCTCCATTTTTTTTCTTATTGTTCTGGATAGCTTTCCACAGATGGGAAACCAGTCTAATGTAAAAAAACCTAATTAGTGGTATATATTGGAACCCACAAAAGGAGGCCACTCCAGTGGCCCCACCCATGTCACAAATCTAAACCTAAATCATCCTGCACTTACAGAAAACACCTCACTATCAAGGCAATGTAACACCAGTCACAATCCTCCAACTTGGCTTTAGCTAGCTTATGTTACCCTAGAAAACAGGTCCTTCTAGCCAATCAGGCCCTGCTTTTGGGCTGCCTCTTCGAACATTATATAAAAGTTGCTCTTGAAAAAATACCTTCTGAAGGGCTCGTGAGGCACCGTACTCCCTCAATCTATGGATTATTTTCCCTTGAATAAAATACAGCAAACTCGTTACTGAACTGTTTTAGTTTCGCCATTTGACACTAGGATGACAGCAGTGAGAGGATGTGAAGGAGACACTAAAAGATCTTAGCAAAGGTCTGTAACTCCAAATAATACAGTATATTCTCACAGCATCTATTTGATTTCTCTCACCGCAAAGATATACCACATCATAACAATGAGTCTGAGTTCTACAACAAACTTCAAAAAAAATCAACCATCACTTTTTACCAAGCCTAAGACATCAATGATTATAACATGTACCATTAGTTCGCACATAAGTAAAACAAACCCCCCAAAACCCCTCAAAAACCCACCATTAAAATGACACAAATCAACTTTAAGGTGCATCTCACTTTCCAGAGCTGTTAAAGTATGAAAAGGAAGTGTGTCTTAGAATTGGTGAAACATGGTATCACATTTTCTACCTTTTGGAATACATTAATATTGCATCTAGATTTAAGTCAAAATGAACCATATAATCTCCATTATCTTATTTTAAGAAAATGAGATAGGCCAGCTCTTAAAAAATAAGGAAAAAGCACTGCCATTATATTTTACTATGTAACAGATTGTCAGCACAAAATGAAAAGAACTAGAATCATTAAGTATAAGTTTCTGAATGCACTGTTCACAGAAAAATAAGTGTCTTAACAATACTTTCATGGTGACCTATGACCAAGTCTCAATTCTTTATTACAAAAGGTTTTTAAAAATCTCTGAGTTGGGAAAATTTTACTATCTTGAAGGCCTTGGTTTTATCCTATTTTTAAGTAAATTTATTTACGGTACAACAAAGACAAATACATTCTGCATATAATTAACATAATGATATTTATTTTAAGAATATAATGTTATGCTTTGCAAGTACTAAGTTAAAAAAAATCATTTTAGTTTAATCTAAAATGCCGTATTAAAGTCAGCCATTTAATCATAAGCTCCCTAAGCCCTAGTAATGAAAAATAATCAGAACTATATATTCTATGTTAAGAAAGGTGCACCTATATACAAGAACATTCCAAGCAAATTTCAATGCAGAAGCAGCCTATATTCACTGTAAATAGCTTCTAGTGAAATGATCTCTGCTCAGAAAATTAAAAGGGCAATGTTAACATGTTATAGACAGACACTACTCAACTGCATTTTGATAAGCAACTGAGTCAAAAGACAGTTCATTCACTGCAAAACCCGTTCCTGTCTCAAATAGCAAATGCGTTGAAAATTCACTATGCAACACGGTTCCTTTTTGCCTACATGGGGGTTTGCTAGAACGTTCCCCTCTACCACCCCATTATGACAGTGTCCTTCCATTCAAAGGAAAGTTTTGAGCTTGGTAATGGGAAACATTCAGACTTAAATATGGTTGGGAAAAACCACTAAGTCCAGGATACTGAAGCATCTTCAAGACAGCTGGGGGAAAAAATGTTAAAAATCTTTAAAAATGTTGAAAATCTTTAGCCAATCAATTGAAAACATTCACAAAGATACTACTATAAGCAATATGGAGTCAACATTTTAGGACTGCAATACATCGAGGGCAGACTATTAATAGCCAAAATTGTTATTAGAGAAGCAGAGAAAGGAACACTAAGAGATTAACTTCCATAGTTAGCTAGTCTGACTGGATTCCTGCTCTCCACAAGCACTTATAAATGGAGAGGCACTGAAGATAGTGAACAGAAACTACTATTGCTTTTTCAAGTGTTGCTGATGTCCTACCTAAACATCTGGAACACTAAAAGTTAAATCAGTGTACTGTTTATCAGTCTCGTTTTTTTTTTTTTTTTTTTTTGTCTTATTCATATGGTGTATGCATTAATTTAGATGTACTGATACAGGAAAAGAAGAATTAAAGCAGGAAGAAAGCAATGATTTTCTAACCAGAGGTGGGAACCAGGATCACTTGGGTAGGCATTCTGTCTCAATACAGAAAATAAATTACATATACGTGGGCCACATCCCTAGAGATGCTGAAATACACACCTGTCTCAGAAACACAACTGCTATCAATTGAACAGCATGTCGAAGTAGAAAGAGCGTAAGATTTGAAGTTGAAAATAGGAATCTCCATCCTTTCAGTTAGCTATGTAATCTCCAAAATGTTGGTCAACTTTGAGTTTCCTTTTACTCTTCTTTAATATTAGTATAATAAAGGTACCCAAAATATTATAGAGATGAACTTTTAAAGAATTATGTGAAAAACTTTGTAAGTTATCAAAACATTATACAAAATATTCATTTTTATTACCATTGTTATCAGAAAGCACTTTTTAGACTTCTCCAAAAATAAAGTTGGTCATTTTTCTATCTCTTTTTCTCCTCATTCTGGTATTCTAGCTGTTTCAACTTCACACGGTGTCATAAATAATCCCATGGCCACCAGAAACTTCTACCGAATACTCTTGACCTAACCATTTCTAGAGACCTATTATAGTTTCAAGGGTGTGAACAAGTCCATGCAAACAACACTGCCTAATTTTTAAATGTTTTGGCTTCATTCTATATTTAAAAGTACTATAAATGTCCCCTCTGTTACATATCTTTACATATAGTTAGTGTTATTTATTTATTAATCCTATGAGGTAACTAACGTTACCTCTTTTTTATAGATAAGGAAACTGAGGCTCAAAGAAGTTAAGTAACTTATCAGAAGTTACTAACCTAAGTTCTGGGATCAGGATTCAAATTAAGGCTAAGTCGCTGGCCTGTTTATTACATGAATTTTACTACAAGAGATGGCTACATATTTAGAGGAAGTATGCTCAAGACTGCTTTATCTTCTGGAGTTGTCAAGCTGCTGTCAAAACTGGTATCAGAAATGAGCTTATACTTTACTGCTTACTTCCTTCTATTGGACAGGGAAATAGCCCTGTCCAATTAGAACTTTCTATGATGACAGAAACAGTCTTTTTATCTGTGCTGCCTGAATTGGTAGCCACTAGCCACATATGGCCTGAAAATAGCACTTGAAATGTGGTCAGCACAACTGAGAAACTGAATTTTAAACTGTCCTTCATTTTAGTAAAATACAAAACCTGAAAA